TGGAAGATAAAATAGGTAAAATTCTTGAAAAGAGGCACAGGTGAGGATTTTCTGGACAGAACTCCAACCACACAAGAAGTAGTACCAAGAATCAATAAACTAGATTATAGGGGCTGGGGATTTAGTTAGTGGCATAAGTGCCTGCCTGGCAAGTGCAATGTCCTGAGTTCGATTCCTGGTACAAAACATACACACACACACAAACCAAACAAAAAACAAACAAGAAAACCTCCTACTGTCTAAGAATTAGATTGTATAAAGTTAAAAGAAAACTTCTTCACAGCAAAGGAAACAAGCAATAGAATGAAGAGACAGCCTATGGAACTGGGAAAAATTGCCACTTGCCACTATTCCCCTGACAGAGGATGAACATCTACAATATTTAAAGAATGCAAAATTTAGACAGCCCCAGAACAAAACACCCAATCAAAATATGGGAAACTGAAATAAATAGACACTTCTCAGGAGAAGCACAGGTAGCCAATAAATACATGAAAAAGGTTTAACATCTCTTTACTTCAATGAAATGTGAATTAAAACACTAAGATTTCATCTTACTCTGGAAAGAATGGCCATCATCAAGAAATCAGACAACAACAAATCCTGGCAAGGCTGTGAAAAAAGGAGCCCTCTACACCATTGATGGTAATGTAAACTGGTACAACAACAATGGAAATGCATATGCAGAGCCCTCAAAAAGTAGAACTAAAAATCCAATGGCCCTAGCTATTCTCCTTCTTGGTATCTTCCCTAAACAGTTAAAGTCATCATATTACAGTGATTCGTGGATACCAATATTTATTTTTATAATTGCTAAAAACAATGATAATTATATAAGGAAATAATAATTATATATTATATATAACAGAATATTCATAATAGCTAAATATTGTAAATGGTGTATAATAAATGAAAGAACAGAGAAAATGTGGTATTTATACACAGTGTAGTGTTGTTATACACAGTGTAGTTCTACTAGAAGGATAAATTTGAGTTATTCACAGGCAAATGGATGCACCTTGAGACAATAATATTACATGAAATAAATCAGATACACCAGGATAATGATCACATGGTTTCCATTACATGAGAAACACAAACTGTAAACAAAGAGCAACATAAAATGTAATAGGAAGTAATGAGATCTTTAGCAAATGAGAAAGAGAACAAGAGATGGAGGAAAGTAAACATAGCTGTTGCACATGGGAAGAGAACCAAGAGGTGGAACAAGTAGGGATGGATAGGAGAAGTAGGGGAGGAAAAAATAATTAAGAGTCATTATGTCCTTGTACCAACTCTCTACCATAAATATAATCATCACGTACTGCAAACATACTAATAAAAACAAAAAAAATCTATGTAACTTCATAAACTCAATAGACAACTAACTAGACAATACTCCTTAGAAACTATGTTCATGATAAATGTGAAAAAGTTAAGAATTAAAAAGATACATGCATGCTGCCTGAGCCTGGGAAGCTGCACAGGTGCCTGGGAGGTGGGCAGCCAGCACCTGAGAAGCCACATGGCAGCTCATGTTGGTTGCACCAGCCCTCAGGCCAGCCACCACGGTGTGGTCGAGAACTATCATGGCACAGACAAGCAATGACACAATTGACCTGCCATGCACCTGCCGCAGAGGCCCACCCTGGGACGTGTGTGAATCATCCTGACATGAAGAAACCCCTGGGAATACATGCCACAAAACTGGTCACTCTTGCCCCTGCCTTTGAGAACCAGAAAGGTCCAGAGTCAGCAGAGGAGCAGCTGTTGAACAAGGACTCGGAGAACATGAGAATGCAGACTACACCCAAAGACTCAGAGGTCTAGTTGACCAGGGTCCCAAGAGCTGTTGGGAAGCTGGAAATCAGGAGGACCTTGTGCAGTACCTGGGGAGACCCCCTAGAAGCTATTCTTCCCCTGACAGTACAGGTTGCAGTGGAGGAGTGCGTGGAACTCCGAAGATGTCTGCACCAAGATTCCTGCTGCCTGTGCTGTCAGCTGGGGGGGGGGGGAGACAGTAAGTGGTTGCAGGGTCTCAATGTGCTGGGAGGCTAGAGAGAAAAAGCTACAAAAAATGACTTTCACCCCAGATGGCTCACATAAGATGTTAGTAAGAATTGCCTCCTCAGTATTCTATAGCTGTGATGAGGAGGAGGCCTAGGAGAGAAAACAAAGACACCAAGAAAAACCAGCTGCTTTTGCTGCAGCATTAAGAGAAACAGACCCTAAGTCTGATTCTTGGGGCCCCAAGAAGAACTTGATGACTACATTCATCTGCTACCACTGTGAAAAGCCAGGCCACCTCAAGAGGAACTGCCCTAAGAGGCCCCCTGTGCCGTGCCTGATTGCAAAGGTAACCACTGGAGATAGGTCTGCTCTCTGAAGAGAAGGCCTCAGGGATCAGACCCATCCTACCAGTTAGTCCAACAGGAATGAGGGGGCACGGGGCATACTCTGCCTTCTCCCTCTGGCTAGACTGTCATCTCCATGGAGGAGCTCTGGGTAATCATGACTATGGAGGAACAAGAAAACAGCCTGTTGCTAGACACAGGTGCAAGTTTCTTGGTCCTCCTTTTCAATCCTGGCCTTGCACCAGTCACACCTCAGTGAAAGGAGTCACTGGTGAGGAGGGAATACGCTATTTTTCACAACCCTTAGGCTGTAACCACTTGTTAGAGTTTTCTTGCATACCTCTGTCTTCCTGAAAAACCACTTTGAAGATACCACCATGTATTACAACAGCCACTGATATTTTCCTACTAATCTGTCCATAACTCTGTAATGTTTGTATTGTTTCTATGCTATTTTGTAAATAGATGTATGTTTATTACTATGTGTTTCCTACAACAACCATTGAGAATAGTCAATGAATATTCAATTGGTCACTCATGTACAGCTCTATTTATTTTCTTTAGAAACCACTTTGAAAATACCAAAGTATAGTACAACAGCCATTGATAATCTCTTACCACTTTTGTCTGTAACTCAGTATTGTCTATTTGTTTTCCTGAGAAACTATCTTGTAGATAACAATGTGTAAAACAACAACCATTGATAATTTCCTACCACTTTGTCTGTAATTCAGTAAGCCCCACTATTAGTATGTTATCCTTCTTTTACTCTTTAAAATAATATTTAAAAAAGATACATGCAATAACACAATTGAGTGCTCGTATCAGAGCAAATCTTTCCAACAGCTGAAAAGTAAGGCAGAGTCACAGCAAGCCCCAACATCTCCCCCATTTCATTTCAATTTTCTTTATGAACATTTTTTTACATGAAGTCAGTTGGTTTTAGAAAAAAAATTCTGATTAAAATTGTATTAACAACAACAATAACACTCCTTCAGCTATCAGAGCCTTCAATCCAGTCAATTCCTGAAGCCCTACATCCAAGTCACTACTCTGGACAGTCTTCCCTCTCCCACCCACACCACCATGGGGACTCGGGAGAGCTCCTCTCTTCCTATTATGCCACCTAGCCACTTGTGGAAAGCTTGCGGGGATCATCAGAGGTAGAGCTGCTGTGAGCAGCCTGTTACAGATCCATAGCTCCCACACATTTGCAGCCATCCTCCCTTTCCTCAGTCAGACACAACAGAGAAGACAGCAGAGTTCTTCCACCAGCCAGACTTCCCCCACCATACTATGGTGGAGGCTGCAGAACTGATGTGCTTCAGGGACTGTTGGCTGTGCAAAATCAGAGAGGCTGAAAAAGTGGATGTGTGGACTAATGACAGGCTATCTTACACAAGCAGCTATGAATCAAAGATTCACAGAAAAGTGGCTGCAGGGGATGGCGGAGACCAGACAGGTGTTGTGGAATGAGGGGTTGCCCTTCTTCTGTATCTTAGCCTGCACTGTCTCTATGAACTGCTTCTCCAGTTTGGTGGATAGGATTATTAAATCTAAACAAAATCTTACTCAGAACAAGCATTAACAATACTCATTTAATAGTGAAATTAGAAACCGATAATTATGTGGTGGTTGCCCTGTTCCAGGCATCATTGGACACATAAACGAACTCATTTCAGTTCTATGATTATCAACACTATCTCCATTGCACACATTAAAAAATGGAGTTAGAAAGATAACCTTAAATTTTTTTGTAACAGTATCAGGAATGAAGCCCAGAGATGCAACCACTAGTTTTTTCCCACAGTCAGTATGCTACAGGGCCTCTCATCTGGCCTGAAAGTTACACTGAATCTACCTGAATATAATATGATAATAAATATCCTCATGCACAAATTTTTAATAAAGATATTAAAGAAAATTCACAGTAGAAGAAAAAAATTAATCAAAATGGTGAGCAGTATCACTCATATCAAGGGAACATTATTGAAACAAAATTTCTTCATGACTATAAATTAAATGGGGAAGTTGTAAGAAGACTAGCATTGTCCCTAGGTCAGATAGGGCTCAGAGGCAAGTGATGTTCATCTAGAACAACCACACCACGTAAAAAATTATAGTAGCTACTTCAAAAATCCAACAGGCAATTTGAAAATCATCAGAATAACTTGATCAATTACTAGTACTAAAATGTATATGAGTTGAGTCATAGATGCATAAATATATAGCTATTTTTGAGAGATAAAAGGAAAATGTTAACAATTTTGAATCATAGATTCATTTATACTTTTAAACAGCTATTGAATATTTCAAATGTCAGCCCTTACCCATTGACTTCTCTTTCTCTGTATATCCATTAAACAACATTCTTGCCAGAAACCTCTCAGCTTTCTCTCATTTTACTTCATATGCATTTCCTTGCATTTACCAGTTAAATATTACTTGCATCAATTGTTTTAAATACATCTATGCATATAGAATTGCTAAATCTATATCTCAAAGCCAACCTATATTTTACTAGCTGTTCCTACTTTAACTGAATGCCCCAAGAACATATGAAATCTAATGCTCTACCATAAAGCTTAGCTCAACTAGCAGCACCAACTTTTTCCACCTATTATATAAGTTTCTCAGTGAACTTACCTGGTAGTTACATTTGGACTCATGTCAAAATTCCAAGCAAACCCTCCGTCACTCTTCTGGATTTCCATTCTTATCCATCTCATGCACTCTACCACCTTAATGTGAATACAAATTATTTCACATCTTTTCATTCATTTTCTACTTATATTTCAACTACTATTGTTTAATTTTTGTTCCTTATATTTTATTTAAACTTTTAAAAGAATAACCTAGTAGATATACCTCTTTTCAGCACTTTGTTTCAGTAGATCCTGCCACATGATTCAATAAATTTTTCTAAAACATAAGCAGTACCTTTTATCTGTTTAAAACCCTCACTAATATCCCCCATACCAAACTGTAAAATATAAATTAGTAGTCCAGTCATCAAAGCCTTTGCTGGTCAATTCCATATCTACCTATCCACATCATCTGCTATGTTATACATATTCTATACTCTATTTCCTTTAACAGTCTGTACTCACAGCATTGTATAATCTAATTCTCAAAATATTCCATCCTACAAGACACCGCTTTTCCTGCTAGTTACTATTCTAATCACTTTGTAAATTTCTGTTCTTCATTTATTGGCCCATTTAATAATTTTGCCAAAACATTTTTAATCATATTTCCAATACAGAATCTATGAATCTCACCAGATGAACACTCTGCTTTATTGCACTACTTTGACTGTACTACCCTGTAATAATTTAAGCACATAAATATGACATTTTGGCCATGATAATAACCAAATATGTATTACACTTTTAGTAATTATTTTGAGTTAACATATTAATGACTAGTAATATATCTGCTCATCTTTTATGGGAAGGTAGTTATGGGTGAAAGTGTGAAAGCACCAGGCTCAAACTGGAAAGAATGGGCAGTTTTTACACTACTCTAGCTATTTCAATTCTGGAGAGTTAGTTAGTACAAAACTTCATCTTCATTCATAAAGTAGAAAGGCAATCTTTTCTACTAAGATATCTGTTAAGATGAATGAGTATTTTTTCAGTCCTTGTAACAATATCTACTAAGGATCTCAAACACTAGAGCTGTTAGACAACCATATAATTGTTTCCATCATAATTATATGTAAATCAACAAGAGAAACAAGACCATGCCCTTTCCCAAAGCGTGAGGGAAAATTTATAAACTAAAGCAAAATTTCTACATTGTGTAGTACCTTATGATGGCAAAGTTCAAATTGCAAAATTAAAAATTTGGAATGAAAAACAAAATATTCATGTCTTGAACACCCTCATGGCTTTTCTATACTGTCAGAAGTTACTTAGAATTCTCTGCATATCCTCCCTCCTTCCTTCCTCACAGCCTGTTACTCACTGCTCCCTCTTCCCTTTGCTTTCTGCTCTTAAGCCATATGGCCTTGCTTCCTATCCCTAACGTAGACCTCAGTACAGGACTGTTTTGCATAGAGTGTTCATATTGAAAATGAGGGAAGAAAAACACGTAGGCAGAGCAAACAGCCTGGGGTTTCTTACAGCTAAAATATCGTGTCTAGTAAGCACTTTAGGGGGAGGGGCTTGCTGCTGTTAAGCTGTTGAAGACACTGGCATTGCAGTTGCAGCCCTTGGCCCCACAATGGCCCAAATGTCCGGAAACTGAGAAACTCAAATTTCCATTTCTGTTACTCAAATCTACACAGATGGTACTAGAACCTGAAGCCTCATCTTTTCTGCTATTATTACTCTACCAAAAGCCATAAAGCAGAGCAGGAAAAAGTGTCTAGCACCACCTTTTGTGTTCAAGCCTCCTAAGTGTGGCTCCTATTAGCATGGTAGACAGATGACAAAGTTATACAAGAAATGTAGTTTGCAAGCTCCTATCCTGGAAGTTCAAAAGAGGACAAGGATAGAATTGTAACTAACAGATACTGTGCAGAATTCCTATAACATCTTCTCAAAGTATTACACATCTCAGTTTTATAGTATCTGTCCTTGCTACAGTCTTGCACTGACTACTTTTTGCTTTTTGTTTTGTTTTTCAGTACTTGGGATTAAACCCTGGGCCTTTGCATTGCGCTACATCCTCAGCCATTTAATTGTTTGTTTGGTTTGTTTGGGGCAGGGTATTTCTATGTTGTCTAGGCTGGCTAATTGTGCATTTCTTAAATTAGTATCTCTCTCAAGGGAATGTGTTCTTCTTAAAGATAGTGGAAATTGTCTCATATTTGTTTATTATTTTATTCAACAATTAAGATAAAACTTGACGGTTAGCAGTCATGCAACAAATATTCAAACAGGGACAGATGAATGGTATGATGTGAATAAATGTAAAGTATTACAGTAATTTGATAAATGTAATCACTAGTATACTACCAATATATTCTATAAAATGGCTATATATGAATAAAGAGAATTATTAGTTTTACAAGTAAATATGAAAAGTCTTCTATAACAATGTTTTTTAATCTCTTCCATCAGAATAATCTATTTTGATGAGTGCAAAAAATACAAGAACAATAAAAATACGCATCAACAATATCTTTTCAAAACTATAGTCCTTGGTGTGGTAGTGAAGTAGGAACCTTAAACATTGTATCAGCGAAGAGGGTGCTGGATTGGGGCAGCAGGTGACCTAGAAGACTTCTACCCGACACAATTCAGTTTGCCCAGGCATTCTGCGACCATTAAATGTAATGGTCTGCCCTCAAACTTCCTTTACACTCATCTATTTTTGCAATCATAGAAAATGTACAACTTTTAATATTAAACTTTTTGGTAGAGAACTTGCTACTGCATTTCAAACTTTGTTTTCACTGTCCCTAGTCATTAAACAAATTGTAACTTATAATGTACCTTCTATAACAAATAATGAGTAAAACAGGAGTTTAAAGCATTTAGCAGTATATAAGAGCTGCAGGTGGACTAAATCTTATTTTCAAAATATTTATATATATTTATAACTTTTTCTGTGCTCTCGAGTAACTACATGCTGTGAGCACTATTTACACATCTGTGGAGAATTAGTTGGGCTTTGGCTTGTAATATTTTAGATTACCTTAACATATGTGGTTGTAAACACATATCCAGCATTTCTTTTAAAGTCTTTATATTATAGATTTCTTTTTCTTAAGATAGACAGACAGACAGATAGATAGATAGGTGAATAAACATTCTACCCTTTAAAGACTTTTAGAGAAAGATAAAAGTTTTGTCTAATATTTGTTTAGCCACACACATATACGTGCCACCTGGCACACCAATTGGCAAAGTAGTTTTGATTAAAGAATGAAAGCATTTTTTAGTCACGCATGATCTATATTAATTTCAAGATACTTATTAGTTTACATTTAATGGCAATAATTTGAAAGTATTGTTAAAAATAATTATTACTTTATATTATTTTGTTTCTTTCTGGAAGAAAAGAATGGGTCACTTTAGTTCTTGCAACTGAAAGCTTAGTGATGACCCTTTGGCAAAAATACTTTGTTGGTAAATAAATACATAAGTGAAAGTTCATAAATAATCATTCAATTTCAAAGAAATTGTTGCTGCCACACCCATCATAGAAGATAATGATATTTGTAAATTCAAGAATAGTTTTTTTATCTTATATTAGATTGTAATATATGCTCCTAGTTTATAATTGTTTCTAAACTAAAAACCTCTCTTAATTTGAGACAAAAATAGACATTTGAAAATAGACAACAATAACATCAGTCTGTTCTCCTCCCTAGTCTTCAATCTTCTTTTGATTTCTTTTTAAAAAAATTTATTGGACAAATAAACTATGCTGATATTCATTGGATCAAGGTGATGTTATAATACATGTATACATTGTGTAATGATCAAATAAGGCTAATTAACTTATCACTTCACATGCTTACTTCTTTGTGGTGAGAGTATTTAAAAACCTGCTATTTGAACAGTTTTGAAATATATAATATATTGTCATTAATTATAGTGGTCATGTTGTGCCATAGCTTTCACACCCTTTTACTATCCAGCTGAAATTTTGTCTCTTTGATTAATGCAAATTTCTAATTAAAAATTTTGAAAAGTATGTTAGCATCTCATTTTATAAATATTATTAAATTATTGAGAATTTCAACTTTATTTCAAAGCTATATTGGATCTTCACTCTTTTCAAACTTTAAAAGATTTTGTTTAATGTATTACCTTATTTTAATTATTAAATTATACCTTTTAAGTTTTGTTGAGTATTTCAAATATTTGGAGACTGTTCTCATTCTATGTCACCATTGTCTGAAGAACCTTGCATATATAGATAACATTTTTAAATGCTTATCATAATATTTTTACATTTTAGAATCAGAAAATATTATGGAATAGAAGATCCATCCCCTCACTACATTATTTTCTAACCATGTGTGAATCAGCTCTAGGTATCTGCCACATTCTTACATTTAACTTCCCTAGTAAAGCTAAGAATATAGCACCTACATTTGCTAGAATTTATTCCAGACATAGGTCAAATGGGATAAAAAAAAGAGATAGGGACAAAGCCCTGAGACTTTTAAAGCAAAGTATTTGTAGTCAAATCTAAATTATAAAAAATATAAATATGATAGAACAGTTATTTCCAAAATATTTGGCTTCAGGGTAGAGTTTAATTAATTTTAGAGGCAATTTACATAATTGTGTTTTATTAGACAAAATTAGAATAGCTTTGCTTCCCCTGAATAAACAATGCCTGATGACAATGGAGGCAGTGGAAAAGTGGGGATGATAGTAGATGGTGGTGTTTTTTCAGAATTTTAATTTTTGTCTTGAATGAATCCCCAAACCACTGTAAGTACCTCACTGAAATAGCTATGAAATAGCAACACCATGAGAAGAAAGCATACTCAAGCATCTACTTGCATTAATTATTGAGATATTATTGGTAATTTTTAAAATTATGTCTTAGTGTCAAGCATCTTTGTTTTGGAAAACTACAGCCACTGCAGAAAATATTCAGCTATAGTGCTCAGCAAAAATAGTACTGTCACTCATTTGATTTTTGGAAAAGAACATACTTTTCTAACTTTATTTTGATGAGAAACAAAATTTATTATAAGCTACTAAAGTGATTTTATCAATATAATGAATTCTTTTTTTCAGTCCTTAAGAGAGAAAATATCTTAGTGTGTGCTTTGTAATACACTCACTCACCTTTGCTTTTCTTTACCACATGTAAGAATTTTAAATTAAGGTTAAAAGTCATCCCAAGGCTGCTCCTCAACTTTCTGCTGGTCTAGAAAGGACAGGGAAGTGTCCTGTTCTCTCCCATAACACTGCTTACATATGAAATGTGAACAAACAATACGGTGAATGTTCACAACTTCTTACAGCCACATGTGGTGGTGCACACCTGGCTTCCCAACCCTCAAGCGGCTAAGGCAGGATGATTTCTGCGAGTTCAAGGCCAGCCTGCACTACACAGTGGGCTCAAGGCCAGCCTGGACCATAATAGCAAAACCTTGTCTCAAAAAAATTGTAACAAGATAGGACACATTGCCATTATTCTCCTCAGAATATTCACCCTACCTTCAAACTTTCTTAGCCCATCCTTCTTGCTCCTTTCTGAAACAGTTTTTCAAGTCCTCTTTTGTGAGCATCTTTAGTTACACTGTCCCAGCTATCCTGATGACCTGAGCCAATTCTAAACACTTTTCCTGACATGGTAGTTTTGACTTTGGGGAAAATCAACGGTCTATATGTGGTACAGTGCCAGATCCAGATCTAGTGAATAAGATGAGTGAGGACTCATATGGGTAATTTTATGTAGCTGCCTTTGCTTTGGATGGTACTGGTCAGCCACATTCACAATACTTTTGGTCACATTTCCTAAAGATTTCTGATGAAAGATTTCCAGAACTGCTTCAAGAATTGACAAGAATAAAGGTAAGTCCATTTAAAGCTAAGGGGTACTTTGAAAGGAAATCATGCCAATATGTCATTTACTGTAATTTTTTGAAGTTTAAACATGTCCTGTTTATTTCGATCATCCTTGAATTCCTTGAATGGTTTGATCGTTTGATCATCCTTGATTATCCTTGAATGGTTTCTGGACTGCATGCTCCTGTGAAGGACCCAGCAGGCTGCTGGTGGTGACCGTTTCTGGTAGAAGTGCTCCAGGGGACAGTGCTACAAGAACAATGACAGGAAAGCATAGACTCCAAAATCGTTTTCCTTCCTTCACTCACATCCTTATTCCCAACATTGTTCACACCACACGGCATTTGTGCTGGGCACCCTCCTGCAGGTAAGAGCTGTGTTCATACCAATTCTTCTTCATTACTGCTTACAACTTTGTCATTCACTTTTCCTCAAAAATATTTTAGTTGAGGGATTTGATTTCCTTTCCTGAATAGAAGACCATTTTGAAAAATCCTATTCAAATTTCTCTTTATTTTTAAATCTTGCAAGGAGAAATCCTGCAGTCTTCTGTCAAATTGTGCTCATTCTTTGCTCCTTATTTTCTGTGACCAGTGAGGAGGAGCAAGAGCCCCAGGATTTGAGAGCCTTATCATTCACAGGAGGTTCTGTACAGATCTCTCGGCCCTCAGTTCTTCCTTTCACAAGCACAACCCATGTGCCTATTTACCTGGAGCTTCTCTTCAGATAATTTCTGCCTATTCTAGCATGCATTTTTTTGAGTATAAGGATATTATTAGAGAAGTAAGAAATGATATTTTACACTCTAATCTCTCATCCACAGTTTCAAAAGATCTAGAAACAAATTTTTTTTAAAAAATTCATAGCAAACACAGCTTATGGTGGCAAAATCTAACTGACCTTGATAGGAAGCTATGATGTATTCCATTTCATGTGACTATTTAGAATGTTTTTCCAAAAACATTGATGTGTTTGATTATGGAATGCTCTCTCAGTCTCTCCAAAATACATATGGTATTAATGTTTCACTGATTTCTTAGCCTGAAAAAAAATTAAATCCCAAAGTTTAAAGCTATTTTACAATAAGCATTGCCCTGTGATTAGAAGCATTTGTCTCAGTAATTTATTTTTTTTTAAGAGAAAAAAATTCAAAACAAGATAATAGGGTGACAATGATTAATATATTGTGTATTATTACCTTTAAATTAGTTACTCAGGGTATAAGATATTGACATTTAATTGTCCAAACAATGTTAGCACAAACCTTTCTTTTCAATGAACTAAGAGAAATTAGTAATGTATCTTAACAATCATATTTACATATTTTTTTCTTTTTGCTTTTCCCTTCTTTCCTTTCTCCATTCCCACATCCCAGTTTCTCTTTCCTTATGAATTTTCTTCCCATTTTGCAATATCTATGGTACATTTTGGATCTTACTTACTCTTTCAGCTTTTCACACTAGGGAGACAATAAAATGTTTACATATGTATGTCTGGTTTATTTCATTTATGAGTATGTTCTCAAGTTACATTTACTTACCTACGAAAATGTCAGATGTATCCTTCTTTATGGATGAGTAGTACTCAATTGCATAAAAGGACCACATCTTTTTATCCATCCCTCTACTGATGGGCATTTGAGTTGTTTCCAAGACCTAGCTATTACAAATTGTGCTGCTATAAACATGGTTTACATACAGTGCTGTGGTATGATATTTAATTTTTCTCGGAAGATATCCAGAAAAGGAATAGCTGGGTCAAATGGGACCTCAAATCCCTAGTTTTTTTGGGGGGGGGAAAAACTACTGATTTCCACAGTGGTTGCACCAGTCTATACTCACACCAGCTTGGAGAAGTGTTCCTTTTTCCCCACAGCCCCTCCAGCTTTTATTATTTGTGGATTTTTTGATGACAGTTGTTCTTTCCAGGGTGATATAGAATCTCAGTGCTGTTTTAATTTGCTTCTCTCACATGACTGGTAATATTGAACATTTCTTACATACATATTTGATATTTGTATTTCTTCATCTGAGAAGTATATGTTCATCTCAGATGCCCATTTTTAGATAGGATCTTTAAGTTTGCGAGGTCTGATTTTTCTGTGTTTTTTATATATGCTCTCAATAGTAATCCTTTGTCTGAGAAACAACAGGAAAACATCTTTTCACACATTGTGAATTGTCTCTTCACTCTGTTTGTGGTTTTTCTTGCTGTGCAAAGCCTTTTAATAAGATGAGATCCCAGTTGTTCTTTGTGATAATTCTTATGTGATTGGGGTTTTATTCATAAAGTCTTTGCCTGCACTAATTTCTTCAAGAGTTTTACCTATTCTATCTTCCAGCAGATTTAATGTTTCTGTTAATGTTAATATTTAGATCTTTGATCCATTTCAAATTTAGTTTAGTGTGTGGTGAAAGATATGGGTCCAATTTTAATCTTTGGCATGCGCAGAGTCAGTTTTTCCAGCACCTTTTATTAAAGAGGCTACCTTTCTTACAGTGAATATATTTGGTACCTTTGTCAAGGATAAGGTGGCTGAATATTTCTGGAGTGGTTTCTACTTCTTCGAATCTGTTCCATTGATATTCAAGTCTGTGTTTTTTGCCAACACAATGCTGTTTTTATCACCACAGTTTATAATATAATTTCAAGTCAGGGATTGTGATGCTTCCTACCTTGCCTTTGTTGCCCAGAACTGCCCTTACTGTTCTAGGTCTCTTCCGGTTCCAAATGAATTTGCAGATTGTTTTCTCTAATTCCATGAGCTATACTACTGTAATGTAAACATTGATTCAGTTCTAATATTTTTTTAATGATTTTTTTGTCTAATTAAACTGTCTTTTTGTCACAGTGGGATATTGTGGTGCCCCAATACAATTGTGTGAGTGTTTACTTGATTTTTCATGCACAATAATATTTGTTTTATATAGTTATATAGTATTTGTTGTATATATATTTATGATAGTTATCTCTTCCTCTCAGATTGTTCCTTTTACAAGGATGTAGTAACCTTCTTCATCTCTCTTAATCAGGCTTGGCTTGAAATTCACTTTGTCTGCAAATAGGTAGCTACCCATGATTTTTTTCTGAGTTTCTGTCACATAGAGTATTGTTTTCCATGCTTTGACTTTCAATCTATGAATTTGTTTTTGAATTAATTGTGGTTTTGGTATGCAGGATATTGTTGAATATTGCTTCTTGATCCATTCTACCAGTCTGTGTGTTTTGATTCATGAATTGAGGCCATTAACATTGATAGTTATAACGCATACATATTGTCTTATGCTTGTGATGTTATTTTTCTGTCATTAGTTCCTCCTGCTTTTCCCTTTTTCTATTTAACTGTTTGCCTTACCTAGTGGATTCCTTCTGTTGGTGTTACTTGTTATCTCTTTCTAGAATATTATTCAAAACATTTTGGAGTACTGGTTTGATGGTCATAAGTTTCCTCAGATGTTCTTTTTCATGGAAGTATCTTTGAAAGATAGTTTTGGGAGGTACATCAATCTGGATTAAAGGTTGTCTTCTTTAGAACTTGAAATACTTCATTCCAAGCTCTCCTTGACTTGAAGGTTTGTGCTGAGAAGTCTGCTGTATTTCTGATAGTCTTTCCTTCATAAGTGATTTCTTTTCTCTAACACCTTTTAAGATTCTATTCTTGTGTTGCATTTCTGGAACCTGGATTATAACATCACTGGATGTAGTTTTGTAATCATGGCTAATTGGAGCTCTATGTGCCTCACTTACTGTACGTCAAATTCTGTTTCTCCACCATTGAAGTTTTCTCCCATGACATCTGTGAACAGTGTTTTAAAACATTTTTGCTACCTCCTGCATTTTTATTGACTCTAATCAATCTTTTCTTTTTTGTTTTTTTTTTTTTCCAATACTGGGAATCGAACTCATGACCTCGTGCTTGCCAGGAAGGGGCTGTGCTACTGAGCTAAATCCCCAGCACTGACTCCAATCAGTCTTAAGACATTCTGCTCTGCCTCATCTAGCAGCTGCTGTGCTGATTTCTTATCTTTCCTTGTTATTTCTGTGAAATCTTTCTTTTTTATGATGGCTACCTATAAGCCTGTCTTCCAAGTTTGAGATCCTGTCCTCACATTGGCTTAATTTGCTATAAATACTTTCAATGGAATGTTTTTATTCTCTTGGATATCTGTTTGAATCTGATTTATGGATTCCATTTATTTCCTAGGCTGAGCATTTATGGCTTCCACAATGTTCTTAAACTCCTCTGTTTTTTGTTTTTTTTGTGTGTTTTTTGTCTGTATCTGCTCTAGATTCACTAAGCATGATTTCCATTGTGGACACCATCTCTACAGTTAGCTGAGAAATTATTTCTGACGTAATTTTCTCTAGAGCCTCATTCAATTGCTTTGTTGTTACCACTTCATAGAGGCCAGGTGGGTGGCTTTCAGATTATCCCAACTCATTGCTCTCTTAGTTTGCATTTGGTGAACTAAAAGTTTGGAGTTTGCATCTTGTTTAACTGTCTTCTCATTTTATTTTTTATTTTTTAAAGTTTAATTTCTGGGATGATGCTTGTAAAGTGAGTATCATGAGTTGTTTTATTCTTATTATTTAGAACCCTTGGGAAATGACTACTTCTCTGAGGTATCTTTCAGGTGTAGCTGATTTTTGGGTTTTCAGTCTGTTGTAAGATCCTACCTCTTCAATTTGCTGAGAATGAGAAGTTACTGCCTGTTTGGCCAAGACCCTGGTTCTTTGGCACTGTGCCACAGTTTTTCCTGTGCCCCATAGTCAATCTCAATCTTGGAATACCAGGAAGAACAGCTGTTTAAAACAATGGTATCACTTTTGACTATAGTGGTACCAATGACAATAGCATCATACACAGCGTACAAAATAACAAACTGAATGAACCATTAATTTGCCACCTTTATCTGTGTAAACTAGATTTGTAGTTATATAACAAAATCTAAACAAACCAGAAAAATGTATGCAATACACAAGTCCTTAATATGTCCAATTTCTCCTCAGGGGTTAAAATTTAAAATGGGATATGGAGAAAATACAGAAGTGAAGAAGAAGGAGAGATCAGAAGTAAGACTGGAGCACGAGAAGCCACTTTGAAGATATCAATATGTAATACAACCACCATTGTTAATTCCCTACCACTTTGTTTGTAACTCTGTGTTGTCTGTATTGTGCTTGTGATATGTTGTAAAATGTTGTATGTCTGTTAATGTTTCCCTCCTTTTATCTTTAAAATTAAAAAAAAAAAAAGAAGTAAGACTGGAGAACAAAGGAGGTCACTTTAACTTTGGAAAGCTGGTGAAGAAAACTGAAGGGAAAGAGAGAAGGAAGAGATAAAAACAAGAAAAGAGCAGAACAACAACCACAAAGAGGCTAGAAACCATGTTTATACTCATAAAAACAAGATCAAACAATCAAGGATAGGGGCTGGGGATTTAGCTCAGTGGCAAAAGTGCCTGCCTGGCAAGCGCAAGGTCGTGAGTTCGGTTCCCGGTACCGGAGAAAAACCAAAAAAAAAAAAAGGACAAACAATCAAGGATAGAAAAAAATCAAGAATCAAACTACCACCACCACAACAGCAATAACAAAAGAAATAAGGGGGGCTGGGGATTTAGCTCAGCGGCAAAAGCGCCTGCCTGCCAAGCGCAAGGTCGTGAGTTCGGTTCCTGGTACCGGAGAAAAAACAAAAAAAATAAAAAATAAAAAATAAGGGAGAGAGAGGGAAAAAAAAGAAAAAAGTCCACTTCCAGCTTTGTCTCTGCTGCCACTGGAGACAGAGTGCTGATCCATGCCCATCTATCCCAGCAAACAAGTAGTAGCTTTTCGGCAGGGTAGTGAATAATTTCAGTCGATCTGCACCTTCTGGCCAAGACAGGGTTCATTAGACCTGCAGCTATCAGCACACCTTCTATGGGCCTGTGTCCAGCTGAGAGCCACTAGATGAAGCCAGCAGCTGCTTTGAGTTCTGAGCTCAGCCTACCCTCTCTAAAATGGTTCCTGGCCAATCAGTTTCTCCCTT